ACATTTTGTGTGCGCAGTTTTGACTAATATGCCCTTTCCCCCATATGCAATGCATTTTTGGAAAATTCACTAATAAATTTCATTTGTGTGCAAATTTCCCCAATGTATGCATCTGTGTACACATTGTTTGGTTGGAGACCTGCATTGCCAAATTCAGAGACCTGCAAATTTCAGAAGATGGTTGTGTTTCAGTTCAAGTCTATGTTCAACAAGTGCAAAATAGATAATCTTTCATTAAACTGCAAACGAATTTGAATTTCATTCCTATCCCTAAAGTGAAACCTGTCTGCAATTAAGTGTTTGTGAGTAGGCTGTCCATCTGATTAGGAGTGCTCCATGGGCTTCCAGGGCTTCCTTTTAGGAATTGGGCTGTATTCCACTCATTTGTACTCTGTAGACCCACTGAAATTAATGGACCTATGTTAGATATGCCAATTAATTTCAATGGGTCTCCTGTGAGTTGGACTAGGACTAATGTAAGTAAGCCATTGTGCTGAACATGCAGGCAGTGGGCATAAACGTACAACACTTTCTGTGTGTTAGATGAACCCTAGGGCAAAAGAGCCAACACCCTCTTGTGTTTTGAACACAGCTGGAGCAGAAGCCCATGACATGAGAATTAGGGCTTCACAATTTTTAGAAAACCCAAATTAAATGTAAACTCTGGCCTCCAAATTGACTCACGGCTGTTTCCAGGTTGGATGTTTCCATGTCAACGTGAGCCAGGTCAGGAATGATCTGGAGCTCTGCGTTTTGGTCTGCACAGCCCTAATGCTTATTTATCTCCTCATTAATCATTTGTTTACCTGATACTTGAATCATCACTTTCCCAACCTCAAAAGTCTGCTTTTTTAAAAGGTGTATTTGTTGTGCCAGGGCCACAGAGTGCTTTAACCGGGCAAATCTAATTTCCCAGCCTTTCGCTTGGACTCCTGCCACAGAATACAGAGAAGTCTGAAGGCGACATTATGAGCAAGTAAACATGGATAGATGCATGGCTGAAAAAACTCAGAGCCTACTAGCTGGGCTACAGGTGGTAGCCTGATAGTGATCGGATGCTGCAGCCGTGAACAGGAGGACTCTCATTGGATGTTGCTATGGTGACATGCAACTGGTGCTGCTCCTGTTGCTGTGAATGGAATCTGAGGTTTTGTCTGCTGTTTCCAGGGTGGGTTGAAACAAGGGAAGATGACAGATACTGCCCTGTAGATGCGGGAAACTTCATCACTGTGCTGCAAGGTGGGGCTGCAGAGATATACTCCTCATTTTTGAAATGTCATTCTGGTATTTTGGTATTTCATCAATTTAAAATATGCACAACCCTCCCTTCTGTCACATATAAGGATGGGGGAGAAAGGCAATTTGGTTCACATGTAAAAGTGAGCCTAACTCATTTGTACTTTTGAGAACAATACATGGGCTGAAACACAGCCCTCCTTTGAAATCTTCACTTCTCTGAATTTTGCAGTTCTCCAGCCAAATCATATGTACTAAAATACTCCGGAGCATATACTGGAGTAAAGTGTGCATGAAAATGTATATATATTGGTGAAAATAAGATGCAAAAGTGTAAAGATGTGTATATTAGGCAAAAGTGTGTGGAGATGCTGGTAACTTTTATAAGAACTTTTTAAAATAATAATCTGCAAACTGTTGCAGAAATGCGGAGAGCTGAATTTAAGATGGAGAAAGTTGCGGGAGCAACTTTGTAGGTTGGCAGTTCCTGCCTGAACCCTGTCCTGCTCTCCTGCCAGTGCTTCTGACCTCACCGGACTCCCTGCCCTGCACCCAGCTTCAGCTTTTACGGACTGCCTCCATATTGCTCCTTTGACCTCGGACTGGACTCGGACCTCGCCTCTTGGTTGACCCATGGGTCACAGAGAGCCTGGCCAGATCATCTAGTCCAGCATTGTGTTCTCAAAGCAGCCAACCAGGTGCCCATGGGGACCCCACAAGCAGAACACAAGCATTCTCCCCTCCTGCATTTCTTGGCAAGCTGCGTTCAGAGGCACACTGCCTCCAACCGTGGAGGGAGAACATGGCCAATAGTCACGGAGAGCCTTATCCTCCATGAATTCATCTAATCCTCTTTTACAGCCGTCCAAGTTGGTGGCTATCACAGCTGCTTATGTGAGAGAGTTCCATAGTTTGCTACAGAACTTATCTTTTCTCTGTCCTGAATCTTCCAACACTCTGCTTCATTGGATGTACAGTGGTGCCTCGCAAGACGAAATTAATTCGTTCCGCGAGTTTTTTCGTCTAGCGAATTTTTCGTCTTGCGAAGCACGGTGTCGGGAAAGTTTTGGAAAAGCTTCAAAAATCACCAAAGTCTTCAAAAACCTCAAAAAAGGTCTATGAGTTGCTCCTCAAAGTCAAGTCGCAACTGTATTAACGGTGTTAAGAAAAAGGAAACAAACTTGCAAGACGTTTTCGTCTTGCGAAGCAAGCCCATAGGGAAATTCGTCTTGCGAAGCAGCTCAAAAAACACAATACCCTTTCGTCTAGCGAGTTTTTCGTCTTGCGAGGCATTCGTCTTGCGGGGCACCACTGTACTTGAGTGCTAGCATTATGAGAAAGAGGGCAGGGGGGACTTTCCACTGCGCTAAGGCATGCCAACTTGATGGCTCCTTGCTCTTCTCACACTTGCTCATGCTGAGAAGGCAGGTGGACAGGAAGCAATGGCAAGGAGAAGGAGCCACAGGGCCAAGGGCTCCAGGGATTGGCAGGGGGGCCCTTTCCTGGTGTGGCTCTTGACAGATACCTGGCAATGCCAACTTCCGAGACCCCTTCCCAAAGCCTGTGCCTTCGGATCTTTCACTTCAAGCAGTCTCCTTTCACCCTTCTGATGATATTACTGAACGCTTCCAACAAGTTTGATTGGAGCCCATGGTCCGTCCATTTTGGAACTCCCCAGCCATGGAGAAAGGTCAGCTGCCAGGGAAGCCATTAATTCTCAATGTCTTCCTTTTGCGCTCAAATAACTTAAAAATTGCTTTTTAAAGGCAGCAAATTTGACTGTGGTTGGCTGTCCAATGAGGCATGTGCAAAGGCATTTGGGTTAGAGATAAAATCACAGGCAGGCAGGATTATGGAGTGTGGTTTGCAACGTCCATCCGCCCGATGGATCATACCCAGGGACGTGCAAGCAGTTCCTGCCCAGTGACTGTGACTCCAGCTCTATACACCAATGGTGACCAGCAAAGCATAAAAGACAGTGAGGCAGCCTGAGGACCCCCGCAGGAAGGAACCTCGATCTGGATCTGTTGGGGGCACCACCACATTTCACAGGCTGGATATGTAGGTTGTGTTGTGCCTTTGTTTGGCCTCTGGCGTAAGTTCCTCTCCTGTGCTTGGAAAGCAGTATTTGAACGCAATGCTGTGATTTTGAGAGAGAAGCTGCTCAGAACGAAATGCAGGAACCTCACACCTGTACCCAGAGGGCACACAGGACATCTTCAACTTTAGCTTAACTTGCTTCTAGGTGAGAGACTTACCTCATTGGCAATCGGAGCAGAGCTATGGCACTTAATTACAAGAGAATGACCTGCTTTTCCCGATAAGGCATTGCCGTGTCCTGACACCATGCAGGGCAGGTTGCGCATTGTATGACAATGCTCTCTCCAAAGTCCAAGCCAATGTCAGCATCGTGGACAGAGAGCAACATCCGACGCGCTTCATCATTTCAAAGATGAAACTAGAGACATGCTTGCAAGGCTTCCTTTTCTCAGAGGACCACTCAAGGACCACTGCCAAAGTGCCACCCAGCCCTGCCACAGGTTAAGGAAACAAAAGCACAAGTGGGATCTGCAAGAAGATGTTGCCCCAAGGAGTGGTGGCTGTGGGCCAATCTGTTCCATTCTCCCTCCCATCCCCGAGTTTTCAAATTTGTCCCCCCTCACAGTCAATCAGCATTCGGCTGCCAATGAGCATGTTGTGAGAAGGGCCATAGCTCAGTGGTACAGAACATGCTTTCCATGCCAAAAGGTCCCAGGCTCTATTCCTGGTATCTCCAGGAAGAACTGGGAAAGACCTATGTTTGAAACTCGGAAGAGCTGCTACCAGCCAGTGTTGACAATACTGATAAAAATGGACCAATGGTCTGATCTGGTGTAAGGCTTATGCCATAATAAATTCATTAAGGTTGTAGCCAATTTAAGCATTTAGGGACACGGGGGGTGCTGCAGTCTAAACCACTGTGCCTCTTGGGCTTGCCTATTGGAAGGTAGGCAGTTTGAATCTGCGCAACAGGGTGAGCTCCTGTTGCTCTGTCCCAGCTCCTGCCAACCTAGCAGTTCAAAAGCATACTAGTGCGAGTAGATAAATAGGTGACGCTGCTGTGGGAAGGTAAATGGTGTTCCATGTGCTCTGGTTTCTGTCACAGTGTCCCATTGCTCCAGAAGTGGTGTAGTCACGCTGGCCACATGACCCAGAAAGTTATCTGTGGACAAACGCTGGCTCCCTCAGCCTGAAAGTGAGATGAGCGCTGCAACCCCATAGACACCTTTGACTGGACTTAAGTGTCCAGGGGTCCTTGACCTTTTACCTTTACCGTAGCCAATTAAACCCTACTTTGAGTAGACCTATTGAAGTTAATGGTCCTGAGGCTACATCTACACCACATTTTAAAGCATTATTATCCCTCAAAGAATGCTGGAATTGTAGTTTATTAGGGGTGCCGAGAGTTGTTAGGAGATCCCTATTCCCCTGAAAACTACAAGTGCCAGAATTCCCAGGGAAGAGGGATTGATTTTGAAACCCCTATGGGAATTGTAGCTCTATGAGGGGAATGGCTCTCAGCACCCTTAACAAACTACAGTTCCCAGGATCCATTGGGAGAAAGCCATGATTATTTAAAGTGACATGATACTGCTTTAAACGAGGACTAGTTAGATGTGTCTATTAATTTCAGGAGTGCTACTCTGAGACTGGAGGGACGCGGGTGGCGCTGTGGGTAAAACCTCAGTGCCTAGGACTTGCCGATCGTATGGTCGGCGGTTCGAATCCCCGCGGCGGGGTGAGCTCCCGTCTTTCGGTCCCAGCTCCTGCCCACCTAGCAGTTCGAAAGCACCCCTAAGTGCAATGGATGAGCCTCACCCTGGGAAAACCACCTTTGTGATCATGGTATCTCCCCTGCCAGGTAAGAAATGGAATACTCAGGATGAAACCGTGAAATCTGCTATGATTAAATGGGCACAAGATCTAGGATATAACATTATGTTTGCTGACTGGGAACAGTTGTGGACCACAGGCATGAAATTTACGGCATGTAATGCCCTAAGAGAGAATATTATGAAAATGATATACAGGTGGTACATGACACCAGTCAAGCTTGCAAAAATTTATCATGCGCCCGATAATAAATGTTGGAAATGTAAAGAAAATGAAGGTACTTTCTTTCACCTTTGGTGGACGTGCCCAAAGGTTAAGGCTTTCTGGGAGATGATATATAATGAATTGAAAAAGGCATTTAAATATACCTTCTTGAAGAAACCAGAGGCCTTTCTCCTGGGCATAGTCGGCCAATTGGTGCCAAAGAGGGACAGAACTTTCTTTATGTATGCCACAACAGCAGCAAGAATACTCATTGCAAAGTATTGGAAGACACAAGATCTACCCACCTTGGAAGAATGGCAGATGAAGGTGATGGACTATATGGAATTGGCGGAAATGACTGGCAGAATCCGAGACCAGGGAGAAGAGTCGATGGAGGAAGATTGGAAAAATTTAAAGACTATTTACAGAAATATTGTAAAATTAATGAATGCTAGAATGATGTTGGATAGAAACTAAGTGAACTTTAGCTGAAAGGTTATAAGGAATATGAAAAAATGGTTTATTAATATGTAAAAATCTAAAATTACAATATTGTGATGGGAAGATGAGCTGCTTGTGCGTAAAATCGTATTCCCTCAGAGTTTGTTCAAGTCCACAAACCTCTGTCTGTGACTGAGCCCC